TTGCTATTCTTACTGGGGTGAAATGATATCTCATAGTTGTTTTGATTTGCATCTCTCTTAGAGCTAGGGATTTTGAACATTTCTTCATGTGTTTGTCATCTGAATGTCTTCTTTGGTGAACTGGTGTTTCACACTTTCATGCGTACTTTATTTCATACAATCATTCCTATACACTGTGTTTTATAAAATTAATCCCATTGAACTATGCCCCCCGTACCCTGTCTTATCAGGTCCCACTGGATCTTTTCCATTTCCTTTAACATCTCCCCACACACACTAAATTGTTCAACCCTGTAATTTCATCCCTGCTCATCCTCACCCTCTACTCCCAGCCCTTAGAACCCATTATACATTTTACTAGTTATCCTTTTATTTTTACAATAATGATCTTATACAATATTTGCCCTTATGAGACAGAGTGCACTCAGCATAATATTCTCCAGTTCCTCCCAACTTATGTAGTATTTTTTTAAATTGTTGCTCCTTAGTGCTTTGTAATATTCCATCATGTGAATGTACCATAGTTTCTCAATCCATTGGATTGTGGTTGGGCATTTGGGATGTTTCCATGTTGTTGCGGATGTAAATTAGGCTGCTATGAACATTGGTGTACAGATCTCTGTTTGTGTTTCAGTTCTAAGTTCTTTGGGGCAAATTCCTAGCATTGGAACAGCTGAGTGACATGCAATTTCTATGTTCAGCTTTTTGAGGAAACACCAAACTACCTTCCAGGGTGGTTGTACCTTTTTATGATTCCACCAACAATGTATGAGAGTTCCAATCTCTCCACATCTTCTCCAGCACTTATTGCCACTGCTTCTGGGGTGAGATAGTATGTCATTGTGGTTTTGATTTGCATATCTCTGATTGCCAATGACTTTGAGTTATTTCTTCATGTGTCTTTTGGGTGTGCATGTTTTTGTTAAGTTCTTACTTTCTGTTCTTTTGAGTATTTGCCAACAGTAGAATTGGTGGGTCATATTGGTAATTTTATCCTGGTTTTTTTTTTTTTGAGATAACCTGTTTTGCACAGTAGCAGCACCATTTACATTTCCACTAGTTTCCAATTTATTTACATCTTTGCCAACATTTACTTCCATTTTTAGATAATAGCCATTGTTGTTGATGTGAAGTAACGTCTCATTGTAGTTTTGACTTTCATTTCCCTGATCATGAATGCCACCACTTGTCTGCCAGTTTGTTGCTCTGTCGTGACTGAGTATGGTGCTGGAATCTCTGGCACCAGATTTCAGATAATACTAGTAGAGTAATTCATTGTTTTAGGAAGACATCAAGGGATATTTTTAGTTTAACGTGTGAAGGTTGTCACAGGGCAGTAGTTTCAGGAATACATCTGGTTTCTGTGTTTCTGGAAAGTCTAGGTTCTATGAGATTTTGAAATTCTTTTCTGCATTTTCCCTTTTTTGATCAGGAATCTTCTATAGCATTTCTGCTTAAAAAGCAGTATTAGCTAGGTTCATGGATACAGTTAGTCAAATGTTCTATTCCCTCCTATTTCTGAATATTCTTACTCTTCCTTCTTCCTCTCAGGCAAATAGAAACCATTATTATATCATAGATGACTGTTTACAAGCATTTAACGCATGTTAAATCCAACAAATTAGTAGATAGAAGAATAACCTTTAAATATTTTATATTTCCAAACCAAGAAAGCAAGTTCCATAAAGTGTTTCTTTTACATAAGTGGCCTCAGCTATTCCTTTTTTTAAAAAAAACAAACAAATCTTTTTAAGTGTATTTGTCACACAAATATTATTAATGTTTTACAGGTGTGTAAGTTACCAACAGCTGTTTTAGTAATCACTAGTTACAGGACTAGCTTCCATCAGTGGAATTATCCATCACTATCAATTAATCACTTCAAAATAATAAGGTCCCAGGAATCAATGGAATGCAAATTCACGTATTCCAAGTAATAGACACAGCCCTGGATGTGCTCGTCAGTTTATGCCAGAAAATTTGGGGACAGCTGCCTGGCCAGCAGGAAGCAACCCATATGTGTCCCTATTCTCAAGAAAGCTGATCCAACAGAATGTGGAAATTATCAAACAATATCATTAATATCACAAGTAAACAAAATATTAGTGAAGATCATTCAAAACCAGCTAGAACAGTACATACACAGGAAACTACCAGAAGTTAAAGCTGGTTTAGAAGCTTCCGTGGCACCAGGAATATCATTGCTGATATCAACTGGATCCTGTCTGAACGCAGAGAATACCAGAAGAATGTCTATTTGTGTTATGTGCTATGCAAAGGCATTTGATTCAATGATCATAATAAAATATGGCTAATATTGAGGAGAATGGGAATCCCAGAACTCTTAATCTATACCTAGACCAAGAAGCTATTACCTGAATGGAGCAAGGAAACACTTGATGCTGTTGTCTGAATAGAGCAAGGATTTAAAACCAGGAAAGAGTGCTCTTCAGGGTTATATTCTTTTTCCATATCTGTTCAGTCTGTAGGCTGAACAAAGAATTTGTGAAGCTCGACTCTATGAAGAAGAATGTAGCATCAGGATTGGAGGAAAACTCATTAACCTGTGTTATGCAGATGACACAACTTTGCTTGCTGAAAGGTGGATATAAAGTGCTTGCTGCAGAAGATCAAGAACTTTCAGTATGGATTACATCTCAACATCAAGAAATCAAAGGTCCTCACTACAAAGCCAACAGTCAACATTATGATAGATGCAGAAAGGATTGAAGTTGTCAGTGATTTAATCTTGCCTGGATCAAGAATCAACACGTTTGATACCAGCAGTCAGGAAGTCAGGAGATGTATTGCATTTGTAAGTCTATTATCAAAGACCTCTCCAAAATGCAAAGATGTCAGTGGAAACTAAGGTGTGCCTGGGTCAGGCCATAATCTTCTTAGTCACCTGCTGCCCATCTGCAAGCTGGACAATGAATAAGGATAACAGAAGAATTGATGCCTGTAAATTGTGATGCTGGAGAAGAGTGCCGAATATCCTATGCACTGCCAAAATAATTAACAGGTATGTCTTGGAAAACATGCAGCCACAATGCTCCTTGGAGGCAAAGATGGCAAAGCTTTGTTTTTCATACTGTGGACATGTAGCTAGACCATGCTGTTTGAAAAGTTACATCATGCTTTAAAAAATAGAGGTTCAGCAAAGGATAGCAAGACCCCCTAACAAGATAGATTGACATGATGACTTTAGCAGTGGACTCTAGTGTTTCAGAAATTATGATGATGGCACAGGATAGGACAGGGCTCAAGTAGACTGTTGAGTGAACAGCAACAGCAATGTTTCCACCTCTCTCTCTTCTCTAACTGCTAATAAATTTGGTCTCTACATTTGCCTTTCTTTATGTTTTTTTGTAAGTGAGGTCTAATACAGTATCAATCTTTTTGTAGTTGCCTTATTTTACTCAATGTAATATCTTCAAGCTCCAGACATTGTAACATGTATGAAGGCTTCTTTTGTTCAACTCTTTGAGAGAAGTATTCCAAGGTATATATACCACATTTTCTTTACTCATTTATCTCTTAATGAGCATTTAGATTGTTTCCACCTTTTGGCTATTGTGAATAGTACTAATGAACATTGATGTACAGGTCTTTGTTTTGCTCTCTACATATAAAAGGCTATATTTCAAGGAATGGAATTTTTAGATCATAAGCTGTAAGGAAGGCCTTAGCAGAATGGATGCCCTCGAGTTGTGGTGTTAGCAAAGAGTATTGAATATACTGTGAACTACCAGAAGAAGAAACAAACCTGTCTTGGATGAAGTGCAGCCAGGGTGGTCCTTAGAGACAGGAATGGGGAAACTTCATCTCACATACTTTGAGCATGTTGTCAAGAAGTGGGAAAAACATCATTCTTGGAATAGCAGAGAGTCAATACAAGAGAGCAAGACTGAATGGGATGGACTGACACAATGACCAAACAATAGATTTGAACATGATAGCATTTGTGAGGATGGCACAGGATAGGTCAAGATTTTGATGTGTTGTTTATAGGGTCACTGTGAATCATAGTCAACTTGACAGTCCCTAACAATAGCAGCAGCACCACCACCACATGGTTTTCCACAGTAACTGTACTTTTGTCTTCCATCAGCCATGGATAATTGTTCCAATTTCCCCATATTCTTTTTTGGGGGGAGGGGAGGGGGCGGGGGTCTCTATGTGTTTTTGTAATCTTAGGTATTAGAGGTGAAATGGTATCTCATTATAGTTGTGATTTATACCTCTCTGCTGGCAGAAAAAAACCAAAACTAGATGTCTCTTCATGTATTTGGTGGCCATTCGAATGTCCTCTCTCTTTTTTCCCCCTTAAGGTAATAAATCCCCTTCTGTTTGGCTGAATGATATGATCAAGAAGGAAGATACTTCTTTTCTTATATACCAGTTTGAAGGGGGAGGAGGAAGCTGTGAGCAGGTGTCTGGCATCCTTGTCCAGCCTACCCTCCGCCATCTGCCAGGACCGTTTAGTCTTCGTGTGACCCTGCAGTGGATGGACATGCTCCTGGCAGCACTGGAGTGTTATAACACTTTCATTGTACAGAAGGCCATCGGAACGCTTGAGGTCCTGGGTAGGTAAAACTTGGACTCTTGAGTTGGTGTTTCTGATTCTCCCAGAGTCATTCTGGGGAGGCTCAGTTAGAGTGAACAACTTGCTTTGCTCTTTGTCTTGGCCTTGAATTATGCTGGTAATCTTCACTTATTATTTTACCTTTTCTCTGGTTTTCTTGTTTGGTAAATTGTTTTTTGGGTGGTTTTTGTTGTTCATTTTTTTTGTTGGATTTTTGTTTTGTTTTGTGATGGATCTATTCAAGTGTTCTAACCTAGAGGAAATTTGTCCTTCTAGGTTATACCATCTGTGGGATAACAGTTCTTCATAATATTTTTATATCTTTCTTCATATCCTTAATTTCTCTTAGTTCTCTTGTAACATCACATATTTAATTTCTTTTTTGTATTGTGTCACCTTCTCTTTCATTAATTTAACCAGTGACTTATCAATTTTATTGATCTTTTCAAAGAATTGGCTCTAGTCTTGCTGATTCTTTTCAGTTATTTCTTCTCTAAGCAAGTCATTGCTGTTGAATTGAAACTGATTCCTAGGTGACCCTCTGATGGGTTTCCAAGCCTGTAAATTGCACAGGAGGAGGTCAGTCATCTGTGTTGAACTTCCAAAAAGGGATGGCCCTTGGGTCAACACAGCTCTCTGAAAACTAGGCCACCAACACCTATTTCTTCTCTAATGGTATAGTCCATAGGAGCACACTGCCCACCTGGAGGGGCATCTCTCTGGAATTCTCTCCAGCAGACACTATCAGGGAGGCTGTAAATCTCGTTTGATTTGCAGTCTCAGAAAACTGGTGGAGAGGCAGCTGTGTTGGGTTTTGCCCTGACAGCAAAGAATGAGTGACTGGAAAAAACCCCTACCTTTATTGCTTTTGAGTCATAATCAGCTCATAGCTGACCCTTTAGTGGGTTTTCAGAGGCTATATAAGTCACAAGGGGATAATTGCCCATCTTTCTTCTGTGGAGGAGCTTAGGATTTGAATCACTTGCTTTTGATTTGAGAACACAATCCCTTACCCACTTAGGCCACCAAAGATTCCTGTGTGAGTGAGTGAATCTATTAAATCCTTTCTTACAGTGACTGTAAGTTTATTCACCTATATGCATTTTTTAAAAATTTGATTTTATTATACCCATATTTAAGAAGTATTCTTACATGAGTCATATTTATTTCTTTGTACGTATTTGTGTTTTTGCACAAAAGAAGGAAACGTGTTAATATTTCCATGTAATTATTTCTAGGTACTGAATCACAGTCCTCACTTTTGAAAGCAATGGCATTCTTCTTAGAGAGCCTTGCTATGTGTGACATTACAGCAGCAGAACAATGCTTTGCTTCTGGTGTGATGGCTGACATTGCCAGCCCACAGGAGGCAGAAGGATATAATTATAGCAGATGCACAGTTGTAGTCCGGATTATGGAGTTTAGTACAACACTGCTCAACACCTCCCCAGACGGATGGAAGGTATGGTGTTTCCTGCTGCTCTGTGCCATATGAAATTTAAGAAATATTTATATACTTCCTAGTAGAAGTTGTTGTTAACAGCTGTCCTTTTTTAAAAACAAACAAAACAAACAAAACATTTTTCAGTGCTTGTAAGAGTATCAGTTTTTGAAAATAAGAATTTGATATGTTCTTCTGACATCTACAGTATGAATAAAATGCAAAAATTTTTTCACTAATGATTTTAGTGTATATAGGAGATCTAGTAGTGTAATTCATAGGGGTTTTCTACTAACCCAAAGGTTGCCTCTCTCTAGTAGTTCAAGTCCATCTGCTGTTCCAGGGTGAAAGATGGACAGTCCTCCCCCCACCATGTGATTTACATTCTTTTTTTTTCTTTTTCTTTTTTTTGTGATTTACATTCTTGAAACTGCAATAGTAGGTCAGCTGTAAGTTCCAACTTGAGGGCAACATATGAGCATTGGTTTATGCTGTATTTTATAGTATGAGAAAACACTTTCCTTACGAGATGTCTGTTAGCAAATATTTATAAACACAACTATGAGGTTTCCTAGATAAATAAACACTTGTCAGTCCATCCAGTTAATATAAGTGCCTGCTTTTTGCCAAGCTGTGTATTAGAATCCTTGGCTATATGGTGGTGGTTGTTGATTGCTGTTGAGTCGAGCACGACTCATAGCGACCCTATGAACAAAAGACCTGAAGCCCCTCTATAACCTTCGACGTTTATCAAAGTTCATAGAGTTTCCAGAGGCATATTGTTTAGAAAGTAGATACCACTCCTGCTTCCAGTAATACCCTAAAGCAGAGCCTGGAAAGCTGTGATCCACAGATCCAGCTATAGATGACATTTCACTGGAAAGCAGTGCACATGCATGTTTACTGTTATCCAGGGTGGCTCTCCTGCTGCACTGGCAATAAAAATAGTTGGAGCAGAGATCATGTGAGCTCCAAGTGTAAAAAGTTTATTTTCTCCTCCTTTAGAGAACAGTAATTGCTGTCTCTGTGTTCTGAACCCACAAAGATTGTCAAGTTTATGGTCTTTACCCTATAAAAGAGTTCTAACACAATGTGTTGTTTCACTTCATCTCTTACAGCTCCTAGAGAAGGAGTTCCTCAGTAACAATCTTGTGAAGCTTGTGGTGAAAACGCTGTGTGAGCCCGTGAACATGGGCTTTAACATGGGAGATGTTGAGGTCATGGACCGTCTTCCTGGAGTGTGTATAAATCTGATGGTGGCACTGAAGAAGTCACCATACAAAGACCTCCTAGAGACACACCTCCAGGAGAAAATACCAGTGAAGAGGTAGGCAGGAGGCTCTGTGACACGCATGGTAGTGGCATCCTCTAGCTGGCTCTTGAGGAAGGGATCCACCAGCTGTTTGAAAGTCCTCTTGCACCTTAAGACAAGCATGATTCAGATTTACCTTAGTACCACACTTACTTTTATGACTAAACTAAGGGCAGGAGACTTTTCTTGGTGCTGACTCTGTTTGCTAAGACTATATTATTAGTGAGTTTGAGTGCCAGGTGATTAGTCAATGCATGTGCCTGGAATTTACATAGCTTTTCAGCATGTCTTGGCAAGTGAATGACATCTAATCTCATCTAGCTTTCTCTTTGTTTCTCTGATCTGGCCAGCATCGATGACCTTTGTGCTGTTGACCTATATGATTCCCACGCTCATGTGGACAAGACCAAGCTGGCTTCTCTGGTGTCCACGTGTGAACACCTCCATAAAGCTGGGTTCTTGTATGCTATATTGCCATTAAAGGTAAAGCTTCACAGCCAATTTGGTTTTTTGCATATCGTTTAACTTTACTATGCTATTTAGTCTGTTTATTCCTAAATGACATTAAACAACTTTTCTGTACAGAGCTTGCTTCAATGGAAATTGCAGACCTCCTTGCTGTGAACAGTTAGATATTATTTGGGGTATAAATAAGAAAGTAAATATAAAAATTCATAAATTCAAAATGAAAGTAAAATAAATTTGACTATTTCCAGAAGAGTATACTGAAGAAAAATTTCAATTAAAAAAATTTTTAGAAAAGCGTATACTGAAGAACTTTAGGGTAAGCTGCTATTGTGTTTTTGCGACTGGGCAGTGTAAATGAAAAGTAGAAAATAGCAAAGTTGAATTCATGGCTTTCCAACTTTGTACTTTGTAAGGTAATTGTCAGTTGTAGGTAGCATAGGGTTTTTTGTTTGTTTGTTTTCCTTAATTTAAAGATATTGTGGAGTTGTGGTTTTTTTCAAAGTATTTGTTACAGGGCACTTCATTGTTGACTTTATTTTTTCAGTCTACAGATCAGCATCATTCGGTTGGCTCAAAACTTCTTTCCCTGGTGTATAAAGGCATCATCTCACCTGGCAAGGAAGGACAGTGTCTTCCTGTGCTGGATGCCAGCTCCAAGAGGCTGGCCAGTGGTCTTTTGGAGCTGGCTTTTGCTTTTGGAGGACAGGTGGGAAACACAGCCCCTGATCCACACTTTCCTGGGGGTGCCGTGTTCGCTCATTGCTGAGTCTCAGGTGGTAGGATTTAGATGAGTTGGGTTTTAGCTGCTATACAAGTATTATAGATAGTTTATGTCAGTGAATTTTCTTTCT